AAAAAATAAAAATTCATAATTTGAATAAATTCATTATTAAATGATAAAAATTAAAATAAAGATTAACATACTCTATGAACCATTCTATACATTTTAAATTTTATAATAATAATATGTTGTTATAGTAAAAATATTGAATTTTATTGTGATGAATGATGATTTGGTATATGTATATAATTATATTAAATCTCTCTACTTATACACAATATATCCTACACACGTTTAAAAAGTCTTACTTAGTTATATGACTATATTGGCTATATAAGGAAATTTATATCAATTTCCGCACTCATTATTTCGAAAATTTGTTTTTATTTAAATAATTTGATGTAAGTAAATGTTAAATTAAGTCGAAATTAGTTCAAAATATCTTATGAAGTTCTTCATAAGTTGTTCTTGTTCATTTTCCAATTAAAAAATATCGTTAAAATATTAAGTTACAATAGTTACATCTATACTAACTTTTAATAATTTTCATATAACTTAATTTGAAACTACGGATAAGAAATCGTTCAACCGGTAAAAATATTATTCATTATATTATAGTTTTATATTATACGGTAGAAAACTTATGAAAAAATGTATCAAAAGAATATAACCGTATATAGGATAGATGTTATAGGTTTATATTTTAATTTTATTATATAGGTTAATCAAATTAAAACTATAAAATTATTTTCAACATTTTATTACTTAATTATTATTTATTATACGGTCATATTGTTCTTATCAATTTAGAATAAAAGAAAAAAATTATGTCATTATTTTAATCCAAATCGATTAAATATTAAACTCCGATACAATAGGTACTATGATATTATAATATAATAAATATTATAATTCCAAATTCCAATTTACTTGATGTTTTCATCATTTTTTACTATTATTTATTATGATTGTTATACTTATTAGTCTTTTATTTTTACCATTACACTAGTTTTTAATATTCATGGTTTTGATAATTTTAACTATCTATTATACTAAAAAATAAACTTAGTATAGAGATAACATTTAAATATTGGGTAATAATTGTGTTAAGCAAAATTATGAGTAAGTACTGAAAAATTATTTTTTAAGGAAAAATTTTATCCAAGGTTAAACTTAAAAATTCCCAGTACTTATTGTTTTAATTAGGAAAAACAAACAAAAAAGTAAGAAAAAACGGCAATTTTCGACAAAATTGATTTTGTTTTTTTTGTTGTAATTCAAAAGGTTATTAATATTATTATACTAGGTAACTAAGTAAATTTTAAATTATATGAAATTATTGTAAATACTTAAAAATAAATATTGTGATTCTTTACTTCCCTCACCGACATAATAATATATTGAAACTGTAATCATTTTAGCCTTCTATACATATATAATATGACTATTATTACTTATTATGAATTATTCATGGTTTAATTTCAGTTAAGTTGCATTAAAATAATTGAATACACTAATTTAATTTATATATAAATATATAATGTACTTATAAAAAAGTTTATATCTATGCTTTAAACAAATAAACTACTATTAACATCTGTTAAAAGTTCTCAAAAGTATTATATTATTAAAAAATAATTGAATTTACATCATTAAATTGTATTGTTAGATTATTTTAAAGTATTATGTGATGAGTTTTTTTATTATAAAAAATCATGATGTAAATATTCATTGGAAATTAATCTTATTTCAGTAATGATTTAACCTAACGTAATACAAATAGACAATGACACAATATAATATATACACATCTGGATACATATCTATTTCTGATAATACTGCAGATGATTTTACTCCCCAGGTGCGCCGAAAGATGTTTTAATTCAAAATTTGTTAGTAAATATAAAATAAAAATACAAATATTTGGTGAAAAATGCAAGTAGGTATCTTTGGTTATGTACCTATTCCCGAGAAATGCTAAAAAAGATAAAATCGATTTTATCAAAAATTGGATTTGCGTAAAAATTTCAATCATTCCTTAATTTTGTTTTTTATGATTTAAGTAATTTTTTACTTTTGATTCCCCTCCCCCGTAAGTACTGCTACCAACCAGATACAATTTGCAATCATAACCAATCTTATTTTTGAAAACTATAGTATTTTTTCTACCACAAAAAGTGAAAATAGATAAAAACAAATTAAAAAAAAAAACACATGTCATTGTAAAAACAATACATTTATCGCTCTGCTCATAATCTAAAATTTATTCATATTAAATATGGTGCACTACTTACTCCTCGTTTAACATAGTCTTGAATCATGGATACGACGATAGCAGGAACAATATATTACCTATATTATATAGTCGATGAGACAAGCCTATATAATTTTACAACTATACTTAAACAAAGTGCAATCGAAATAAGCTATTTACATATCCGGTTTCTAACTGCAGATTATTGTTATATTTTCCTTTACAAATCACAATACACAAAAGTTAAGATTTATTTTCGCGAGCCAAAAATGACAATGAAACCAATTAGACTAAAAATAAAATATCTGTATACACTGTACGCCTGTACAGTGCTACCTGTTATTAATAAAGAACAAATGGTTAAAATTAGTTCTAAGTTATAATTTGTAATCAATCAAAATTTGTATTTTAAATTCTTATCTTATCTTAATTAAAAATGTACTTCAACTGCTAAAAAATGTTTGTTAGTGATATTAAGTGATACGTATATTTAATAACATTTTTTTTAAATTCATTATGCTGCAAAGCAAAACGAAGAACGTTTTTAATAAAATGTCACATAGGAAAAATTGGAAAGTAACCAATATTATTTAGAGGGTATCCCGAGTGTGTCCGATTTTTAATTTTTACCTTTTTCATAACCCGAGTGCGTCTGCAATTTTATTGTCAAATTGTATTGAATAGCTCTAGTGTATCCGCAGGCATATCGACATATAATATACATGCAATAGCCCGAGTGCGTTCTCAGTCCACATTACAAGAAAGTTTCATACATCGAAGGCGATATAAATCATTTCAAAACAATAAAATATCAAGACAAGGATTTTGTAAAAATAACGGCATTTATTTAAAAACTAATCTATATAGATGTACTAAACTCAAATTCAAGGGTGTAAGCTAAAATAAAAGATGTTTCCATAAATAAGAAACAAAAATTATTTTTGAGACATAAGCCAGTTCGCCTCCTCGTGGTGCAACTGAACTGGAGCGCATTAGAGATATGTCAAAAATATGACTTTTTTTCTTGAGATGCACTCGGAACATTAAAAAGTGTCATTTCGGGACGCACTAGGGAAACTATATTATATACACTTAAAATTATGATAGGCCGATAAGGATCAATTTATAATTGTCTCTATATTTATATTATGTTTTTAACGTAGAAACTAATTATCCGTTTACCATTGTTTAGTTGGCAGATAGAAGAAAGTTCGAAAGTGTATAGTACTTTAGAGTGTAGAATTATAGTGTGTACTGTAAAATGTGTGATTTGTGATGTGTGAACATTTAAGGTGTTCGTGTGGGTTGCTACTCGCTTGTTATGTTTATAAAGTATCGGCCTTATTACCACAAATTTAAAAGTAATAAAAATTCCTTATAGACTATAAATAATTCGAAATCCACGTAATAATAAACTTTAGATGGTGTGTTGAAACACTGAAAACGTATGAACAATATTTTTATTATGTGGTATCTGGTAATTGGAATAAGTAGGTTATAAGTATGTAACATTGACGTTGAATTAATATTAGGTTACCTACATTATTAAAAGTATTAGCTATTTACATGAAAACTAAATCATTTTTTTCCCATTTTAACGCGTATTTGTAATCCATACAATAAAGTATAATGGCGAGTCTATTGGCTATTTGACAAATTTTAATAAGTATTGGAACGTTCCCAATAGTGTCACCAAACAAAAATAAAAAATAAAATCATACAACAAGTATAGGTATTATATCCTAGGTAGATAAATTATACTTTTTTTGACATTATGGTTATTAAATTAGTATATGACCTTAGTAATTTGAGGATATTGAATGAATAATATTAATAATTAAGTATAATGTTAGTATCTATAAGTCATTTGCACAACATATTGAACTTTTTATTTTCTAGTAGATACCTATATAAAGATAAAAAATACCTAACAATTTAAGATGGAAAAATTTCAAATAGAAATTCAGTGTATGGTCACACTCATCGTATACGTCACTTATCTACCTAGTTATGTATAAAAAGTAGATGTCAGATTAATTATAGTTGGGCATTATCTGTATCTTAAAATTTAATTGGCTATTAAGTACATTTATAAATAAATATTACTGTATTAACTATTAAGAATATATTATAATTTATAACTAATAATACGTAGGTAGGAATATAGGTTATAATATGGAGTGTTTGATAAAACACTCTCAGTTGACTGTAAAATTGTTTTAAATTGTACCTAATGCTTTAGAAAGCAAATTTTAAATTATAAGATAAGATCAAATTTTTATCAAATGATTCGTTGTATTTGATAGTTTGATACTTCGTATGCTGCAATGGAAGCATTTATAGACGATTGGATAAGCGTAGGTAGGTATAGGGTCAAAATCAAAAATTCTAACGTCAAAAGCAATTGGATTTTATCACGAAATTATTCAGTAGAAAATATCGGACACCGTACAGACGTACGTCAAGGCCATAATATAAGCACAGAATAGATAGATATAATTTGTTTAAGTGTTGAGTGATAATAATTGTGATAGATATAATTAATAAATATATTACATAATACATGAGCGCATTACCCAGTCGTGGACCACAGGATAAGCCGCGCTCTAAATAATATTGTAAATTTGTAAGTAGTGGCATAATATTTATGACTACTCAAACTTCTAATAATTATTAACGAAATTAAATGAAATACATATATTTTTGTACCGTGCACGTGGTTCCCCTGCGGATGCCTTAAGGGTTTGCTTGCCGGTCACCCGGACTACCAGAGCTCGCCGCCTGGTGCGTAGTACTAACGGTCGCCGCCACCGACGACAGCGACGATCTTTCGGTGGGGTACGCACGGTAGCTGGTAGGCGGGCGTTCGCGTAGTGTTACGAATTACGATGATCGCCGCGGTAGTATGCCTTTGTTATCATCCGAACCCATTCGCGCCAGGTGTCTAATAAAATCAAATTTGGTCTCGACCCGATCAAACGTCGCCAACAACAGAATGCCAAACATCAAGGTGTTCAGCGGCACGTCGCACCCGGATTTGGCGCAGCGGATCGTCGACCGGTTGGGCATCGATGTCGGCAAGGTGGTCACCAAGAAGTTTAGCAACCTCGAAACATGGTAACTGAAAGCGCGCCGCCGACCGGTCTAACAGCTAAGTCCCCCCGACGCGACGGTATCCGCTGTCTAATCCGTTATTCCATTATTATCCTCCTATGACTTGTTATGTTACGACCGTTTGTATTTCCCGCTGGAGCGCGACAAAACCACCGCCCACGCATCCATAAATCGTAATTTCCACGGAAACTCGTTTTATATTTTGTCGATTTTTCTCGTCGTAGGTTCTACGTCACCGAGTGTACTGCTCAAGTCGTACCGATTTATATTGTCTAGGTCGTGTATCGGTCGTCACATTTCCACCTTCGTTGATATATTTTGACCCTGCGACACTCTTCACGGCGTTAGGTTGGTAATGAGATGGAAATTCACTGTCAGTTCCGTTTTCCGGATAGGTTTATTTTGTAGGTTAAGAAAATGGTTTTGTCCGGCGGAAACACGTGTTTGCGCGCCCGTTTGTCAATTCAAATAATGTACATGCGTATGCGTCTTCCATACGCGTTAAATTCCTGACATAGGTATCATATGTTTCCGGTACATGTGTATAACATCCACCAACATAATGCACGTCCACTGTACTGCTGTTGACCATGTCAATCGACAAGACGCATCTCGTATAGCGTTTAGGTGCTATCTGTTACCGAGACAAACGATTTTAAGACGTTTTGCAGTCCTAACAATCAAATTCTGTAAGCATTAATGATACTTTATCTATTTAAACTATCTATTGATCATATTTTTGAGTATATTAACAATAAAGATCTTTCGTGGACATAATTAAGAAATATGTACCATTAAGGTCAATAATATAACATAAGTACATAACCCATTGTAATTTGTAAGGTACTGTATTGTGTGCTTTTAACTACTTTCATCAATTGCTTTGTTTTATCAATAATCCTTAAGCTCTATTACCTTAGCAACATTGTGGTATGTTGTCACTTAAACATAACTCGATAGAGTTATTTATGTTTTCATTCATCTAGAAAAACAAATGTTTCACCATGAATTGGGTGACTTGAGTTTTCTGATTTGTAATGATTTTTCAACTGATGAGTTAGTTTTTTTTATGTAGTTTTCCAAATCAAATATCACTTTAACTATACAATTATTAAAAAAAAAAAAATTGGCAACAATTTGATAACAATAAAGATTGAAAAAAATATATTCTCTTAAGTTATTATTTTAATAAAACTTAAATTTGGTTTGTAACTAATTATAAATACATGATAAAAATTGTTTTTTTCATATTTACAATCTCAATGTGTTAACTAATTTCCAATTATTTATTTATAGTCCTTGATTTATTTTTAATGTTTATTTTAGTGTTGAAATTGGAGAATCAGTAAGAGGGGAAGATGTTTATATTATACAGAGTGGTAGTGGTGAAGTTAATGATAATTTGATGGAATTATTAATCATGATAAATGCTTGTAAAATAGCATCTGCATCACGTGTTACTGCTGTCATACCGTGTTTTCCATATGCTAGGCAAGACAAAAAGGATAAGGTAAGTTATTAAATTTAATTAATTTTAGTTCTAAACCTTAATCATTTATCAGTTAGAATATTATAGTAATTATTACATTTCCATTTTACATTAGTACATATTAACTAAAAAAAACTATCCACACTGCAATTCTATTTACAATATTTATTTTCTTTCTTAAAATTATATTTTAACTAACTAAATATATCACTTGTATGTGTTAAAATGTAAAACAAAATAAGTATTTTTTATTCAAGGTAATAATAACTAAAAATATAATAATGTTATAATGTTGAAGAAAGACTAAGCAATATTATAAAGTAATTTACTTCAATTATTTAGTAATTCAGCCTCGATAATTTAAAGTTCAAATTTTTATAAGAAGTAAATATGTCATTTGTTCAAGACAACTGAATTTAAAATTATTATATTATTTAAATTTATCATAGAGAATTAAAATGCTTCTAGTACTTAAGGTTATACTTTTTTAATCTTAGATTATGTTTGGTAATGAAAATGTTCTGCAGGTTTTTCTTAAAATAATATAATATGGCTTATATATTAGGCAAAAGTATTGGTTATTTGTTATTCTTTTTCATAAGTATCTATAAAATATTGTTCATAGTTTTTTTAGATAGTTCATTCTTTTATTATTATAATACATTTGATTCTTATGTGCAGATATTAAAAAAAAAATTATATTTTTCAAAATATTCACATGCCAATTAATCTGTTTTCCTTTTATTACTTGCATGATGAATATTACTTTAATCCGCATATTACTTATTAATCATTTTTCACTGTTCATGCTGTAACCAAAAGAATGGCGACATCCCCGAGAATGACAATAATAGATCCAGGGCAACCGTCAAGTGCAATGAATGGAAGTTTCGGGTATAGTTTTATTCAATGAAACATTATTAAATATACTTACCTGGGCATTTTAACTAAATTCATACATTATTTTATGGGATTTACAAAAATATGCGTCTTTTTTTTGGGTATTGTTGTGTTTTGAAATGTCAGTTTTCAATGTATCAGTTATTGATCCTTTATATCACTGAATAATTATTGTAGTTTTGTAATTAAAAGCCCCTATTTTCTTATGTTGAATATCACTTATTAATTTCACACAGTTATAAATTATTATATGATTACAATGTAAAGTATTAGATGTCACGCAATGTTGCAATTAATTTAATTCAGACCTATTATTTAAATATAGGCGAGAAAAATTAGGATAGTTGCCAAAAGTAACCATTATGTTATCATTAACGCTTCACTCAAAAATTTTCTTTTAATTTTAAACTTGACAAAGGTATCTACAACAAAGCTTTATCATTTCATATTTGCTTTAATTATAAATAATACTTTTGTGGATAGTAAAGAAAAGTTAGCGATATTTGTAAAAGCTTATTTGCTGCATGTGTTTATAATATTTTATTAACAATAACATATTACTACCTACTAAATTTCTTTTTTTTTAATTATGTTGAAAAACTTTATTTTTAGTTAAGATAAATACTACTTTATTTTTTTGGCATGAACACCTACTAGCACATATATTATTTTGTTTTAGGTTTGATTTTATAATATGTAATTTGTTTAATTACCTGCTTTCACAATATAACTGTATTTTAACTGTATTAAAGATACAAGTACTTGTTGATAATAATAATAATTCTAAAAATTATGTATTAAAAATTTAATGCATGATGCTTGGTAAAATAATTATCATAAATTTTTCAGCATTAGATTTTTGTTCAAAATAAGTGCTAATGTAATAATTTATATTATTATGTTATCATGTCATTGAATTAAAATTTATGATGAAATAATTTGATTGCATGTTTTATAGTTTATTTTATAAAATCATTTGAATACTTAAGTTATGTTAACTACATTTTGATAACCCACACACATGAAAATAAAATAAATAAAATAATCTATTTTACAAGTATAAATGTTGAAAACAATTAAATTATATTTATTTAAAATAAATCGATATTTGTGCTAGTCATAACTGTAATATGTTTTATTTATATTTTATACTAATTATAAAAAAATATTAGAAAATATATTATGATATTTAAGTCTTAATAACTAATAAAAATATTGACTTGAAATGATAGCATAATTAACACAATTTATGTTACCTATTTTAATTGCTATTATTTAATATTACAGTTGTTTGGTTCCAAGAAATGAATTAGCTATCCAATTCATATTTTTGTTTGCTTTATTTTTACAGGAATTATTTCGAGATTTTGTGATCGGCAATCAGGTGCTAAAAAAATGTTTTTTAGGAATTATTGAAACAAAAGTTTCTGTAACATTTCTTTATGTTTGCATGTTTAATGTTTGGATAGCATTAATTTGTTTTTACTTTTAACATATATTTTTAATTTCATAATTTATTAACTATAATTTTTAAAATTTTATACTTGAAAATCTTATACTTTTATTATATTAGTATGGTATCAATATTATCAAATCTAATTCATATAGTAAATTCTTTCTAACTTAAAATTGTAGAAAAAAATGTATATAATGTAATAAATTGTGTTTTTCACTGTTTCAATAACTATAACTAAATGATAGAAACAATAATAGGTATAGTATTATTTTTAGAGTTGTATTATAATTTTGATCCATGTAAAATTTGATATCTATGATTGTATTTATTTTTTTATTCTCATAATTATTGATACTAAAAGGTCAACATTTTATTTTCAAGTTAGTTGTTTTGGTCAGTTCCAATAAACATGGGAACTTTTTGACCCGTATTTTTTTATTATTATTCTACAATTTTTATACATGAAATAAATTTATAATTAGAAATAATAATATTTAGAATCTTTAATAAAAATTACTGGTGCATGATTCTATTTAATCAATAATTATCAAGCTAGTAGTTATTTCAGTTTTACATAGTGGTTGGTTTATCAGTGGAAGATATCATCTTTTTATTAGATATTATTAAGGATTATGTTGAAAATAAATAATAAATGACCTGAAACTTTCATGAATTCACTGATTGACCAAGCTACTTATATTTAACATATGACTTGCTTATCGGTGAATGGGTGGCTTTTGGTATAGGCAAAAACAACATATATATATACCCATATAATACTATTAATCACATAAATATTTAAATAATATAATTATTTTACATGGCACAAAAAAAAAAAAAAATAAAATAATTTTTTATTTGCCATTATAGAGTAGAGCACCAATATCTGCTAAATTAGTTGCCAACATGCTGTCGGTAGCTGGTGCTGATCATATAATAACTATGGACCTCCATGCTTCTCAAATACAAGGTTTCTTTGATATACCTGTTGATAATTTATTTGCTGAACCAGCTGTGTTAAAATGGATAAAAGAAAACATACCTGAATGGAGAAACAGCATTATAGTGTCACCAGATGCTGGCGGTGCTAAAAGGTACCATATTAATTTAAATTAGCAAATCTAGAGTTTAAAAAGCTAAGACTTATTTTTCTCTAGGGTCACGTCAATAGCCGATCGTCTTAATGTTGAGTTTGCTCTTATTCATAAAGAAAGAAAGAAAGCTAATGAAGTGGCATCAATGGTTCTAGTGGGAGATGTTAAAGAACGCATTGCCATCTTGGTTGATGATATGGCAGACACTTGCGGCACAATATGTCATGCTGCAGAAAAGTAAACAATATAATATAATTGTCTTATTTTACAAGTTGTTAATACTTTCTTTTTTTAGATTAACTGAAGCAGGTGCCACTAAAGTGTATGCTATTTTAACTCATGGTATATTCTCCGGACCTGCTATATCTCGTATTAATAATGCATGCTTTGAAGCTGTTGTAGTTACCAATACCATTCCACAGGATGGCCATATGAAAGAATGTCCTAAAATCCGTGTAAGTATTTCTTAATTTGATTGGATTTAGTGCTTTGTTCGTTATATATAATATTAATATTTATGATAATCTAACATAATAAGTTTTTTAAATAAATAATCTTGTGGCGGTACTAAAAAAAATATTACTTGGATATTTTTAATTTTATTATATGTAACATATATTATAATAAAGAAAGTTTCTATGTTTGTGCTTGCACTTGTAAAATTAATATTTTTACAAAACCAGCAAGAAAACAATCATTAGAATGAAACTATACACAAATTTTTATTTTTTTCTAAATTATAATAATGATTTTTTAGTTTTATTTTATAATAGTAAAGTCTATTATTTAATGACATAATTCTCAAACTCTATGACATCACAACTCATTTTTTCTCTTTTCATTGTTTCAATCTTGACCCACGCAGGTTTATTTTTTTAACAACAAATTATTATAAAATCAAAACTTATAAGCATCACATATTAATACAATATTAAGTATATGATTATTAAATATTTTTATATGTTTGTTTTACAGTGTATAGATGTATCAATGATGTTTGCTGAAGCTGTTCGGCGGACACACAACGGTGAATCAGTATCGTATTTGTTCTCAAATGTGCCTTATTGAAATGTTAAATCATGTTATTATTATCATTGCTATGTACATGTTTATTTATATATTCATAGATTCATACAATAACCTAATATGCTCAATAAAATATTGTAAAATTATACAGTTTATAAAAAATTAATGTTACATTTTGAAATAGATAAAATCTGTTATAAATGTAATAAAACATTTTTTTTTTTTTTTTTTAATGTCAAGCGGTTTATACAAATCACAATTTTAAATCTGTAAGTTAAACATAACTTCATCCATAACTCTTTTTTATGTACATAATATTATATACATTTGCATATTTGGTTTGTTCACAAAGTATATTACAAGATCTAGAGTTTAACTAATATAAAAGTTTATTTAAATTTAAAAATCTATTCAGTATAATCAGTTATTTATTACATTTCATTTATTATTATAACAAACTTAATGGTATCAATTATTTTAGAATGATAAACGGTAACTATGTGATTTGAAAATAATTTGATCGATCTAAATCATAGAAATTTATGAATGAAATATAAAATATTGACAGTTATATATTTGTGTTTAATTTACTATTGGTAATAACTAATAATCATAGTTAAACTAATAGTTGAAGCCGTCTTTCAAAAATAACAAAGCTGGTTGACACTATGATCTTTATTGTATTCATTATTTTATTACAATGTTATTACTTATTACAAACTATTTTAAATAATATATTATAAAAGGCGTTATGGTATTTAATTTTTGATCAAAATGAAACAATTTCAATATTTATCCTTTTATTGACTATAGTTTTTAATGTAGGTAAGTTTAAAAATATTAAAAATATTGAAATTAACGTGGTCCTAGGTGCTTTTAGCTAGTTACATATTGATATTAACTAGTTAAAATTAATTTTACTCAGTATTAATTCAAAATATATAATTTAGTTTTCCCAAAAATTGTATGTTAATTCTATGTACATATATTTATCTAGTTGGAATAGTGTAATATATAATTAAATATTTTATGTTTTTAATATGAAATTCAAATGATACTTTTAAAAAGTAGTTTTTCAGAAAAATACATGAAATTTGTGTGTTTTATTAAAGGGACATGAAACAATTTTTATTACAAATAGGTACATATCATAAATGGTCTAAAATTATTTATGAATTAATCTTAATTTAATGTGATAATAACAATAATATGGTAATATTATAAGAATTGTATTATGATTTATAACATGAACGCGTTTTATACATTTAAAAATAATGCATTTCTTGTTATATCAGTTGTAAAGTCGATTGCATGTCTTATAAATTTAATTCTATAACTATCTATTTCATTTAATATCTATTTACTTGTAACTTTTCCTAATTCACCGTGTTATGTCGTTATGTGAGTAGTATATAATTTAAAGGATTCTATAACAACGCTATACTATCGAAATTATGCTAATATTAGGTAGATACCTACCCCAAGGGATATTGTTTAATGAGAAAATAACAATACTTGGTGCTATGTTGCATATTCGTACAATGTGGTATTTATAACATTGAGATAGACTAAATCTTGTTTTCTCGTGTATCGATATTAATTTAAATAAGATAATATTGAGGTAGTTTTATAAAGGAAACCCATACTAGTCCGACAGATATACGAGTATACGTGTGCCAAAGGGACAAAAGCTTTCTTCGAGAACAAAATGAATGGATTATAATATCATGTTACTGGACAATTCGAAGAAAAATATGATATAACCAATGTCACGAGAAAAAAATTCCGAATAAAATATCATGATTTTTTATTAAATTTATTTTATATAGGCACAAGCACCCAGTGGTTATATCTTATATCATGTATAAAAATTGCAAGTATTAATTATTAAGTAAATAATATATTATTTTATTGAATTTTGAAGCGTTTGCGTGATGTCATCAACCGGTTTATCAGTGGTTGTGTATATTATCATAAATCATAATATTTATGTACATAATAATGTACGCATAAAGGTGTCTAGGGACTACTTACTTATATCTGAATAATCGAAATTAAATTTCAGTTACATCTGCTAGTTAATATCTATTTGAAATATTGTGAGTGTTAAGTGTTGTTGATCTAGATTCGTATTATTATTATTTTAATTATACTCTTATTGTATTATCGATGAAACTAAGTTTCGAGACAAGTTATCCTACAAGAGTGAGTCCCAGGTAATACTAGGTCACTAGGATGACTCAAACTATTTTTTTTATTAAAGAAAACTCATAATTTGACGAAAAAACATTTTTCACTATTATCTATTAATGAGTAGTTTTTTACTATTTCAATGTCCATTTTTTAGATTCTGATTGGAGTGATGAGTTAACAATGGTGTGTTATTTTTCTTCTGTCCATGGTCATCTTTTGAAACAGTGATATTGGATATAATTTTGTTCTTTTTTTTTTTTGAGGGGGGGTCAGAAGTAAAAGAATTCCAGTACTTTTTTTTTATAATCGGAAAAAACGGAATTTTCACGCAAACCCCTATATTTGACAAAATTAATTTTGTTTTTGTTAATGAATAACCATAAATATTTGAATATGTCACCAAATGTTCATGATATTTTCTATGTAAGATAAAATTTTCAAAGTATGGTGACTATTTTTGAACAATTAATGGAAATGAGAAATTTTCAATTCTTTTTTTTTTAATATCAATTGAAAATTATTCACTGGGTAGAAATGCTTGAAAATTGTATTTGTTTTATTACGTTTAAAATTAGAATTTCGAAAAATTTCATAAAATTTGGTAGTAAAAATTAGCAAATTATGTTACAGTTAGGAAATCTTGAACAATTTTTGTTTTTATAGCTAAGATTTGAAAACTAAATACAAGGTTCTTTATACGTTTTGTATAAGCAATTTAAAATTCTTACGGCATTCGATATTCACCCGTAAAATAATAGTAGATACTTGAAATTTTCACCAAATGTTTGTATAAGATACAATTTTCAAAATATCATAACGCTAATTATTGGTATGACAAGTTTTTAATTTTTTTTTTTCTATAAATGTGGAAAATAATTTATTCACTGGGTCAAATTCTTGAAAATCTGTAAAAAAAATACACGTGTACAAATTTTTATTACATAGATTTGAAGTTAAAATTTTGACAAAATCGCAAAAAATGCATTCAACTATTTTGTAGTTAGAAATTTATACGTAAAAGCTATTCTTTATATATTTATATAAAATTTTGAAGATTTAACGCTAGATTCCTACTAAATTTAATAGTTCATGCTGAAATCATAAAATTTAAAAATGATATAAAAGCAATTATTTTTGTAGATATTTTAAGTTGAAATTTGGACGAAATTAGTTATTTGAATGTTAAATAACGATGATCATTATTGTGTTAAAATTTAAAAACATATTATTCGCGGAAACTCTAAACTTTTATTCATATCAAATTATCATGAATTTTACTATACGCAATGACATTTTTGATTTATTTTAAGATATTATCTATTTATACTATGAATTTAGAATCTATTTTTACATTTTACGTTATTTATAGAAAGATATTATTAAATGTTGAAGTGTAAGTCGATATAATATGACATAAATATATGTTATTCTGATAATTAATTACTGATAATATTATAGATGCAATATTTTCCGGGTAAACGATATCGACGTACTGTAATATTAAACATAAAATAAATTATTATTTATTACTAATAGCTATGATATCACAAAAATAAATCATGAAATATACTCAGTGATGTAGGCTGACATACTGTCTCCGTTCTGAAAAGTTTTTCGTATGTACCTACAGGCTACAATGATAATATACCTACGTATTATTGCATTCAAATTTAACACACCCATAATAGCGACCCACTGGGCACTGGCAACTCGACGTGTCTAATGTACAACAGTGTTGCTTACACTTTTTAATTTCATACTCTAAAGCAGAATACTGTTAGGAGTATTTAAATATTATATTTATATACATAGCCACATAGGTATGTAATTTCAAACGAATAGTCAATTAGTTATTAGTTATTACTTATTAGTTTATTATAATGATGAGCGGAATAGTTTGACCGACGTTTTCGGTGTACCTACCAACCTATACCCTGCCATTTTTGTTATTTTACTCGTATAAACTTTAAATAGGTATATTTATACTCTAAATACTCGTCGAGAATTCGAATTTTTTACATCGAGATGCTGCAAAAAAAATAATATTGTGTTTTAAATGAAAAAATAAAATAACGAATATCGATTTAAAAACGAAAAAATTTAAAAATGATAAAATACATTTTTTGATACTATATATATATATATATATTAGCGACTTAAAATCAAAAGAAATATTTTTTAAATCTGTTGATAGTTTTTTAAACAATATAATATATAATGAGTGCTGCAGTTTGGTAAATGAACTATATAGGTATGTAGCGTATTATAGCGATGATATATAGGTACGAGAAAAAGTTTCCGCGGACTTAAATGATGAATCGTCGTAGGTAGAAAAATAATTTAATGTATTAAAAAAGTAAGGTAGGTAGCGCAGTATAAATAATAACGTGGTCTATCATCGTATACGTACATTAATTCTTACATAAATGCGTATATATTTATATATTTGTGTGTGTGTGTGTGTGTCCGTGTATATATTTACTATTTCACATATTATTATGATTATAATAACACATGGGTTGTATAATATTAAACAAATGATAGGTCTATTATAATTTATAATATATAGCTATATATGGATATTTTAGTATAATTAATGTTTTTAATTTTCTGTTAAATATTTATGTTTTAGTTAACTCTTTCAATTGTGTTTTTCGATTTGTTTCGAGGCATGTACAAAATGCGTTAACTGCGTGTTTTATATTTTAATGTATCATTATTTCCAAGGTTGCAATATGGAATAAAATTATGGCCGACGAATTTAATATTTAAGTTAACAAATTGTACACAGACGCGCTCAGTACAATATAATATTATTATTTGTTTTATGTTATAGTTTATAGTATATTTAGTATAGGTACCGATTACCTACTGTAGCAGAGCCATGTGCCCGCGTGGCGCACAATATTATTTACTTAATGTGCACTATATAGGTAGCTTTATTTATTTTATATATAAAATTGAAAATGACCCAGCCCGCCATTATCCATATTATTATTATTATTATTATTATTATTATTATTATTATATGGTTTGTAAAATTTCAATGCAATGAAAATGTAATACCTACCTGTATATATATATATTTATGTCTCCGTCATAATGCTAAGCCCTCATGTACGCGTTTAATATATACACCTAACAGCTATTATTATGTATTATTGCGTTCATAAGTTATTATTATTATTATTATAACTATTATTTAAATACCTTATAAAATATAATATTTGTCCGGTACGAGGTATGTATTTTGTTCGTTTTTGGCTACAAAGTATAAATCATAAAACTAGTCTTTGCATTTTTAAGTACGCGATTTTATATTTAAACTTGCGTAGGTATATTAGTTTCATAGACCCACCGTCATGCAATTTAGAATTAAGATTAATATTATAATATAAGTGAAAGACCGATTATGTTAAAAACGAATATAAAGTGCATGTCGGTTATATATATATATATATATATATATATTTATATTTATATACATACATACTGTTTATAGGTACTATGTATTACCGCTCATACTTTGGTTTCATTATTTTTAACATTTGGTAATTTTCGTCTGAAATCGTACATTAATCACTGATTCACATCATTTGCAGTGGTCAGTGCGATGTAGGTACTATTGATTATAATATTTTGATCAGAAATATTAATACGGTCATATAAGACTATGTATCATAATATTATTGTGACGATATAACTATAAATATTGAAAACATGTTATGCGTATTATGCATGAGTGGATCTCCCTCGACGCGCGTTGTCCTTTATTTTTGTTCGGTGAGAAATAAATTATATTATTTATTTTCATTTTTGTGTTTGATAAATGTATAAAATAATAATATTCATGACATCCCCTATAAAAGAATCCTATATTCACCCTTAAGAATATATGTGTGAATGTGTGATGGAAGACATCGATAACACTTATTAGGTATATAGTATATATAGTTATAAACTTATGACTTATATAATATTTTATTATACAATTGCTATGCATAAAAAGTGTTAGGTACCATTTTAAAGGTTTTTGTTTAGTGAACGCATGACTGACGCCCTACTCCACCAAGTAAAAAAACAAGTACTTATCCACCGCGTTTTTATTTTTAGATTCAGGTTAAACATGTAAAAAAGGCACGTCAAAATAAGTTCCGTTTAGGCATGTTGTATACTATTGGTATCCATAGCACGCTGTAAAAGTTATTCACGCGTATACGTGTAAACATTATGAATACTTTTACATAACACAAGTATAATGTACATAGATACTTACTAAAGGCAGACGTGCTATGATATATTACCTAATATATGGCAGTGGCGTAGTCAGGATTTTGTTTTGGTATGTACAAATTACAGTTTTAATACAGAATAAGTGGTTTATGTTTTACGTAATACGCGGTTCTAAACACTGAATGCATTTTAAAATTTTCCTAAAATTTCGGTTAGGGATGCAGACCCCACAGATTCTGACTTCGTCACTGTATTACGGTACGCGTTGGTACGTATATTGCGCCTGTACAGTGCTCAAGAGTTTGTGGTGAGTAAAACTCGATTAAATGAATATTATAATCGGTCAGTGCAAACATAATAACATCGTAATATTATTATAACGTTCATTAATTTAAAAAAAAAAATAAATCTATAATTAATATATTTATTGTTAAGCCATTATTTAGTTTCATGACGTATTTCCAATCGGCATTGGTCTCAGCAAACTTAATTATTTCTTTTTGTAATATTCTTATTATCGAGTACTAAAATCACGGACAAAATTATTATCATTACAATTTAGTCCTTGATAGACAACGATCGCAATGAAATATGTAGTTGATGATAACTTAAATAACGAATTGATTAATCCTCATAAACTACATATATATATATAAAAATAATAATATGTACGTTTACATTTTATAGTACACACACACACACACACACACACACACACACACACACACACACACA